TAGATCTAGGTCAGGGGTGGGGAAACCTGTGGCCTTGAGACTCCATGTGGCCTTCTAAGTCCTCAGGTGTGGCCTTTTGATTGAGTCCAAGTTTTACAGAACAAATCCTTTTATGAAGAGGATTTGTTCTGTGAAGTTTGGATTCAGTCAAAGGACTGCACTTGAGGACCTAGAGGGCCACATGGGGCCTTGAGGCCACAGGTTCCCCATACCTGGTCTAGGCCTTTCTTAATGGCACAGGATTGCAGGTTCTGAAAGTTCTATAATTACCACCTTCAATATATTTCCCCTATTACGTCATTCCCTTCTGTCCATGTCACAGCAGTACGGTGAGCAGGATATAAGGGCCAGTCTTCTCCATGCTCCTTTCCTGATGACTAGAGTGGTCTTTAAGCAGAGATATCACATTAAGAGAAAGATATGGGAACTGGCAAATTCCCCATTCCTTTGAAATTGCTAAGAAGATGGTGAAGATCCTTTACAGAGTGCAGAAATCTCATAGAGATAAATTGGTGTATAAATTTGGAAAGAGCTCTTAAAAACTTAGAAATCCTTTATTTTCTCTTTTTTACTATTATCCTTTTGTTAAGGAAGGTGATGTTCCAAGCACACTTCTGGATAGAGTTTCTCTCTCTTCTTGGTATTCTTCCTGCTAGTCAGACCTATACATGAATGAAGAGGAGACTGGCTTGGTAATTGGTGGCTACATTCACGAGTGATTGGGAAGGAAACAAAACAAAAAAGCTGGATTCACATCAAGGCAAATATTTTGGGTTTCTTTCCCCCTATTTCATGACCATTTTATATCATAGCAATCAGGTGTCTCCCATGGCTTCAGCTATCTTATCAGTGACCTTGCCCTACCATGTCTAGACCAAGGCCCCATCCATATAGAGGCATGAATATCCAAGTGCCACAGGCATGAATCTGTGCCCAGCAGAAACATACACATCACCTGTAGGGGCCCTTAAATAGCTTACTTCCTTCACACAAAGGGGGTGAATCACGATAAACATATAGAGGGTTGTATAACCAAATCCACGGCTAAATAACTCACAAAAACTACAACTGTTTATAAACTGCTACATGAATATTCACCCTAATGATCGTACAGTAATCAGCTCATAGTATACACAACAGAACAATAGAAATCTGGGGCTTACAGATTGCAGAAATGAATAAATCATTATTTTTTAAAGATGTAACTAAAGATAACACATTTTTTTCTTTTATGTCCTCAAGTGGGATAAATATAAGAGGAAGCAATTATGAGAAAAAAGCAACAATTTAGACTTCAGCGTCTGTTCCTACAGATTTATATAAAAAAGAGTAGTCTTCACATTACTTCATCATTCAGTTTAGATTAGAGTTCTCGTATTGGCCTCTGAACGAATCAAAAACAAAACATAGGCTTACTTTGCTTTCCAGTTTTCTGAAATAGTCTGGCTTTTAAAAGAGATATTTATACTATATTAGCCTCATTCCTAGCCCAAAGCTTTGAACATTTTGTGGCAGATACCTAAGCTTACTTTCTAAAATATGAGATAAAATGATACATTCTGGATAGAGTAAGAGGGAATTATGATGTCAGAGGCACATGTTATCTGACAACTATGTCATTAAGGACCAACTAGGTAGAGAATCCAAAGAAACCAGAATGAGAACTATCAAAGAAGGAAAATCTGCTACCTTAGTAAGGCTAAGTGATGAGTATCACTGATGAAAAAACTTTGTACTATTTAATGTCATCCATCTGGCTTATTGCTCAGTTTTTTCATCTCTAAAAAAGTCTAAGCTGGGCATCATTTCCAATGCAGGGCAGCCTGCTCTGTTTGAAAGAACATAGGCAAATAATATTGGTAATTTGAAATGGAATGGAATATTGTCTGTACTTCAGGCATAAATATTTCACTACATATGTGTTGTTGTCCGACTCTGAATCTAAAATGGCTGTTTGGCAGGATGATGTTGCTTGGTGACCAAGAGTATGTCTCCTAGACCACAGAATGATCTGAATATCAGGCCTGGCTCCTTCATAATGTTCTTGAATGGTCAAATACATTGAAGGATACATTTGTTTTTTAAAATGCCCTACTGTCATATACTATCAGTAAATATTTATTAATACTATGGTTTGTGACCAGTTGAGATTAGGCTTCATTAAGAGATCTATTCTAAAGCCTACTATATATCATGTATGGAAAATAAAAAATAAGACCAAGTATTTTAAGACTACAAGATAATCCTTGCTTCAATTAAGTCTATGTTGCATGTCTAGTCTTTGCAACCTCCCAGTTGCTATCAGTCTCTCTTTCTTTCATTAGAATCAAGTAGTTAATTAGCCCCAGCCTGTCCTCTCCCCTTCTCTCTTTTCCTTTAACGCAGCAGTAATGATGTCTAATTACCAGCAGCAGTGGATTACTGCACGGTCAGGAGCAAATCTCTCTGGTTGACAGCAGAACTGAGCGACAAACCTCAACACCTCCAGTAGCTAAGAATTATTCTTGGAACTGGACTTGAAAGGTATCTACCCCTCCACCCTCCTTTTTTAAGCTAGTATGTCTTTGGGGTCAAAATAGTGATTTTTTTTTTCATTGAGTAAATGTACTCCTATTGAAAATTACCAATGAACATTTCAAAGGGAGAAATAATTTTCCTATATGGGGAAACAAATGGTGTAAGAAAACTGGTTGGGGGTGGGGTTTAAGGAAAAAACTCTGATACAGAGGTGGACTGTTTCTACAAGCAGAAGGGGCTTACATTTCTGTGACAATGGCAGCATAAAAATTTCATAAACTACCACACAGCAGTAGGGTTGTTCATGAATTATAAACCTCTTCAACATTTTGATACAGTCTTGAATGGGAGGCAGAGCTTTTAAGCTCTAGACAAAAACCATTGTTTTCTCACCACCTGAAAGTTAGATGACTTCTCTAAACCTTCCAGATGTGTTTTGCTTTTAAGGAAAGCCAAAATGAATTCACTAACTTATCATGAGCTTTAGAATAATTTCTTTAATAATAATCTTTAACTATGCCATGACAACTCAAACTCAGTGTCTTGTTAGTAAAGGTGTTTCTGAGGAGGTCATGTTTGGTATTCACTTTGATCTTACAAATTCACATGATTTTGATGTTATATTTGGGATTATGTATAAACATTTTCAAATGACTATATTCAAATCATAATCAGCTCACTCAGCTCACACGTAGGTGAAGCAACCTGACAGGTTAACAGAGGGAAATAAGTTTTCCCTAGAAGAAGGAGGGTAGAAAAAGTTTCTGGCACCACAAATTTTCTCTAAAACATGTCTCATTCTAATCAAAAGGTTTTTTTTAATGTCTTTTTTTAAGTGGATTATTTTCTTTTGTTTGTCTTTAATTAGTCTAGTAATGTCCAAATGAGAAATAAGTCCTTTTACTTATAAATTATGATTTATATTAGCTAATTTTAAAAACAGATTTCCAGTTCTTAAAATTATAATTTCATAAAGTGAAAAAACTGTTAATGTTCATTCTACTATTTCTACAATATATACAGATCATTTGAATAGTCAACTCAATTATGCCTACATTAAATAGTGGGGTGGGGGAGAGGATATCAATTTGACAATTTTCTTGAGTAAAGCCAAAGAGTAAAGGAAAGGTCTGACTCATTGATACAACCAAACAAAACAGCACAGTTTCTATACTTAGTTTATGTCATTTACTTCCATTTACCATTTTCCTAATGCCCAGATACCTATAAAATACAACCACCAAAAAAAACATTTTAATTTGAATAGAAGAAATTGTTTCAAATGTAAGACAGCCTTCTCACTGATACCTTAAAAAAAAAAAACAAACTACATTCAAATATTTTCCTTTTCCTCTCTCATAGTGAAGGTAGAGTAGCTCCCTAGAAGTCTCCTCTTTTGCATACTCTAGGGATATTGTAAACAATGACTGCCAATAGTAAATAAGGATGCTTACTAAGAAACCAGAAAGTCAAGGTAGAAATGAAAAGATGGATGTGTTACCTTCTGTCATCTCCCAAATCAAGAGGCTACGCACCGTGGCATGATATAGAAAGAGAAGCATTATTAATTTAATATATGCAAACCTACTTGTGGCCCATAGTTCCCATCTTCTTAAATAGGAAATTCTGGTGCTCCCGCTGCTACCCAACATTATAGCTCTTCTGCTATGAGAAAGAACCAAGTCTAGCTTTCCAGGCTCAGATCTCGCAAAGCTGGCAATACTAGTGGTTCCCAGCGACTGTGCTTAAAGCAAGCTTCAAAGCTGTGAGAGACTTGAGCAATCCCAGAAAGAGTAAGCAATAAATACAGCATTTGATCGCGCTCAGAGCCCGTCTCTCTCTTTGTTGATCATCGTCTAACTGCTTCTTTATTTGCGGAGGGGGAGCGAACACACCCGCATATCTAAAATCTAACCAGTCATCGCAATTATCCAGGCGTGCGTGCCTGCCGGCTGCCCCGCGTCTCCCAGGCTGTGGTCTAACAATAAAACCTGATATCCTGGGGAAACCCCCAAATCAACGACCAGCGCCACACTCGGGCTTTGTGCCAATAAGGAGACACTGTACACTATCGATCAGAATCGTACATTATCAAACCAGTTAGTGGCGGCGGTGGGATGAAGATGTGGCCTTTATGTGGCGGGCAGGACACACGCCAGACGGGCAGCTGAGGAGACGGGACAATAGCCCACCCCCAAAGCCGTCTCCTGCCCGGAGAGAAGCTGCAGAGGAGGGTGCGGGGAAGGGGAAGGAAGGGAGGGGACTCGAAGTGCATTAGGGCTGTGCAATAAAGAACCACAAAGACTTAACTGTGGGGAGAAACGTGCCTGGCAAATGCGATATGGGGATGACTAGGGGGAGGGCAGGTGGAGGGGGGGGGAGGGAGAGAAACGAGCCAACTGTGGCTTCCCCCTTCCCCTCCAGGCTGCCTCGGTGGGTCGCTCGGCGGACAAACACGAGAGGAAGGCAGGGACTTCACTAACCGTGGTTTTGACCGGCACGAAGAGCACTTGCTTGCCACCTCCACCATTGACCTCGTCCGAGTGGCCGAGCTGGAAACCTTTCGATTTGACCCAGAATTTAAATTTGGCATTATCCGTGGAGCTCGACTCGGAGCCGTTCAAGAGCTGGACGATCCGGTCGTATTTTTTACGGGTCACCGTTTTGGTCTTTCCGGAGTCTCCATAAGTCCGGAGGCACCAGTCCTGAAACTGACGGTACATGTCCCGGTCGCTCTCCATGATCCCCTCGGAGATGGCCGGATACCACCCTCCACGCCACGCCACGCCACGCCACCGAAATGGGCCGCCTGGATTTTCCAAACGTACTTTGCACCTGTTCACCTAGTGCTCATGAAAAATGCATCCACTACCACAATGTGGAACAAGAGGAGGTCCCGCTTGCAATCAAATCCTGGCTTTAGGGGGCTGGGATAGGGGAGGGAGGAGAGGGTCCGGGTCAGGGAAGGGGGGTGGGGAGCAATCAGTGCCGAGATCTACCAAGTCTCTTGTTCATTTTTAATTGCACCGGCTCACAGAAGAGGGGAAGACGGGGGTCTCTGAAGCTTTTCTTATCCTTCTACGTTATCAGTCTCTTTAATGTTGTTCAACCAGGACCATCCCAACGTCTCCAAAAGCATCTAGCCCAGAGGGGTTTGGTTTAAAATAACTAACACACAATATCTTGGTTTGCTAAAAATGCAAAATGTTTACTTGTGTTCAGGCCTAGGATAACATCCCTCCTCCAGGTCCCATCCCGGATAGCGCAGGTTTAAAAAAAAAAAAAAAGCCTGCCCTCCTCAAATCTCCCAGGGTTTTTTCTCTCCTGATTGTCCTGGAGGATTGATTGATCCTTTCCCTAAAGCTGCGTCTATCCTGGTTGCAAACACTGGAGGGCAAATTGGTCGCTTGAGCTCACCCCTTTCCAGGGTCCTGCTTCTCAGCGCTCACTGCTTTGGGCGTTAAGGTGCTAAGAGCAGTGAAAGTTCTTACCTGTCATCTTATAAACCTATCAGAATTTGTTTCACAGTAACAGAATTCTTTCTTTTTAAAAAAATACTACGAAATTTAAGCTCCTCTTATTCATCTGGGCTGAATTGCAGCTCCACATCTATGTCCTACTAGTTAAACCCAGGATATAAGCTATTCATATATTGATATACATATAGAGTTTGTACATGATCAACTATTGGACGGAATAGAGATTTCAATTTCCAGTTGGATGTTGGTAAATGAAAGAAGGCGGCTGTCGGTGTGTCTGCAGTTTAATAATGATGCACACATGTAGGACTCCTCTGGATTATCCTCCCGTCTCCGCTAAACTGGTCACGAGACACTGAAGTAAGTTTATGGTACAAAAGCTTAGAAAACCTTTGTTTAAAATACAATCTTGATTGATTTTCTCCCTTTGCTTGGCCAATGGTTTCAAATTCATACATTCGGTTTCTGGTTTCTTTTTTCCCCCTGCCAAGTAATGAACACCCCCTCCTCTGAAGAAAGTAGCCAAATTGTTAGTTCCGCCGGACGATTTTCCCAGGCAAATGTAGTGTGCGGTTCCTCCATTCAGTATTTCATTCCGTTTATTGAAGAGATAGAAATAGAGGAGTTCCCATCTTCCTCGTGCAGTAGCTGCAATCCTTCCCCTTTTATTATACTCTGTTAAGGCATGAACTCGTCCAGTTCAGCTGCTTTCCTAAGTAGACTGCCAGACAAGTGCACAAATACCTAGTCCAATTCAAATGCCGTACTTCCCCTGTCTTCTGTATCCAGAGCGAAAGCAAGAAGTGGGGAGGAAGAGTCTTTGCACCCACCGCACGGCAGTCTTGTCCCAGCACTTGCAAAATGGTCAGTGCCTCCCTCTCCCATGAAGCCTGTGTGTGTGTGAGTGAGTGAGTGAGAGAGAGAGAGAGAGAGAGAGAGAGAGAGAGAGAGAGAGAGAGAGAAAGTGTGTATGAATCTATGAGAAGGTCTCGCGCAGCGGCTGGAGCAGGGACTGACAGCCCAGGCTGAGCTTGAACAGCTCCACACACTAAACCTCTCGCCTCTCCACGCCCCCCCCCCCCCCGCCCCAACTCCCTTCTCCTCCCGCCCCCCTCCCCAGCCCCTTCCGAGCTCCCTGATTGGCCAGTGGGACAAAAGTTTCTGTGGAGACGGCTGGGCGCTGACGTCACGGGCAGAATTGTCCCATTTAGGGATCCCGGGGGCAGTGCGCATGCTGCAGGCTGCAGGTTAGAGACAGGGAGGAGGCAACAGAAGTGGTAGCAGCGGGCCAGGCAGCAGCCAGGTGGCAGAAAGGAGCACGCAGCATCCAGGTGGGGGGATGACTCCAGCAGGGTTTCCATGGAGATTCCTCTGGGTCTAGCCTAAAAACAGCAGATCAGCTGACACCATTAGCTCAGGACCTAATTACTGCTTATTGGAGCAACAAATGAAGGAAAGGGACAGCTGCAAGGGGAAGAGAGTTTTTGTTCCCCCCCCCTTCCCACTCCACATCTTTCTTAGAGTCCCGGGTGAATTCTCACATTAACTTGCAGGATTCCTGCAACAACAGCTTCCTTGCGCCCCGGGCCACCCTGTTTTTATTTTTCACCCTTTTGTGCGAGAAAACATTTTATTCTAAAATACATAAATTGTCCTGAGTTGTGGTGGTTACTGTGTAGAAAAGAGACATGCATCCAAAAAATTCTCTGCTCTCCATTAGCGCATCTGGAAGACTAGTGGATGTAACGCATCTGAAATAGAAACAGAACATCTCTATTGAATTAGCATCTATCTCTGGGACATTCACCCATCTTTCATTTCATTCCAGTATCTTAAGGGGTGAAAACAGAAGGGAAACTAGCAACAGGATGGTAGGATACTTTAAATCATCTTTCTAAATGAGGAAATATCTTTTGGTGATCAAGGGAGGAGAGGACCAACTTTACCATGAATGTTTTAATTGTGGGTTCACAAGGGGAAAAGTCTAAATCAGGATTAATCAATTCTGCAACATCTTGAACAGAGGTTTCTCGAAGGAATCCAGAGGAATGGGTGGTCCTGGACTGTTAATTCAAGATTCACAGTGCTGTCCAAAGAGCATACTTTCTCTCTCCTGCTGTATAATTCCCTCATTATTATGGCTATTTCATTTCCAAATACTGAAATCCTTGGGGAAGATTTCTCTCACCTTCCTTCCTTGTCTTCTACCTTCTGAATCTTATTCAAGCTTCAAGACCCAGTTCAAGTCTTTCTGGGCTGAGGATGCCTTCCCTGATTACTCAAGGACCCCTCTGAACCCCTACACACCTTATTATCTGTATTTCTCACTTGGTACTTTATCACAAGGTGCCCTGTATTGTTTTAAATAACAAAAGAAATTTAAATACGAAGTAAAATACTCTTCATTTGTGTATGCCTTGCCTCTAGTTAGACTCCAAGGAGCTCTGAGACTGAGGTTTCAGCTCTTTGTGTTGTCCAGAAGGTCTATACATAATACATTGCACATAGTGTTCTCATAACTTTATTTTGTGTGTGTGTGTGTGTGAAGATATGGAGCAAAAAGTGAGCAGTAGGCTTCCAGAAATGGACATTTATGCTTCTTTGTTAGTTGTTGACTGTTGGCTTTGGGGTGATTCTTTGAAGTCCCCATACTGCTAGGAATTGAGCACACTGAATTTTATTTGAGGACATACAGTAAAAGGTTAATCTCCTGACTCCAGCACACACTAATGTAAGCTTATGGATGTTCAGAACTGAAGATCTATTACAACTAGTAAAAGGAGCTTTAACATGTGATCAAAGGAAAACAAATCATTTCCATTGCTATAAAATATAGCACATTAAGAATTTTAAACCACTTTCCTCACAACTCTGGGAGGTAGATAATGCAAGCATTGTTATTCCCATTTTACAGATAGAGAAACTGAGGATAAGAGAAACTAACTCATGTCCATGACTTTACTTTTAAGTAGGTGCATGAAGTACAGATTCAAATCCAGGTCTCTATATTAATTAGAGAAATGCAAATTAAAACAACTCTGAGGTATCACTTCACACATATCAGATTGGTTAATATGACAGAAAAGGAAAATTACAGATGTTGGAGGGGATATGAGAAAATTGGGACACTAATGCATTGTTGATGAAGTTGTGATCTGATCCAACCATTCTAGAGAACAATTTAGAATTATGCCCAAATGGCTATAAAGCTGTGCATATGCTTTGACCTGCAATACCACTACTAGGTCTTTATCCTAAAGAGATTTTTTAAAAAAGGAAAAGGATTAATATGTACAAAAATATTTATAGCAGCTCTTTTTGTAGTGGCAAAGAATTGGACATTGAGGGGATGCCCATCAATTGGGGACTGGCTGAACAAGATAGGGTATATGATTGATGGAATACTATTGTGCTTTAAGAAAAGATGAGAAAGATGATTTCAGAAAAACCTGCAAAGAGTTACATTAACTGACACAAAGTGTGAACAGAATCAGAACATTGTATGGTGATCAACTGTGAATGACTTAGCTATTCTCAGTGACCTGAGACAATTGCAAAGGATTTAGGAGGAAAAATGCTACCTAGCTCTAGAGAAGGAACTGATGGAGTCTGAATGAGGGTCGAAACCCCTTTTTCTTTAAACTTCCTTTATTTTTCAGGGGAGAGATTCCTTTCTTTTTTGGTCTGTTTCCTTTTAAAACATGATTACTATGGAAATATATTTTGCATGACTGCACATATATAACCTATATAAAATTCTTGCCCTCTCAATGAGAAGTGAGGGGAGGGAAGGGAGAGAATATGGAGCTCAAAATTTTTTAAAACACATTTTAAAAATCGTTTTTATGTGTGATTGGAAAAAAATAAAATATTAAAGAAAAACAAATCCAGGTCTCAGCTTCAAATACAGCAGTCTTTCCCATTACTCCTAGATAGATAAATACATAGATAGATATTATTAAGCTTTTAAAAGAAATATCTTGAGTTGTGCTATTTCACAGATACATGTTTATGATTTTTGTACCTAAATGAGAGTGATTGGCACATGTCAAATTGAAAATTCAAAAGAATTGCTTGGTTTTTATTAAAGCAAATGTGATTTTCTTTGTGCATTCCAAATCAACAGTTGAAAATAATATTACAAGAAACTTGCTTTTTTTGGGAAACTATAGGAATACCATTTTCTTATAATTGTTGAATCTCACTTTAACAGATAAAAAAATCAGAGGAATCCATGGCATAATTTGTAAGCACTTAACAGG